ATAGAATTTCTAAGAAATAGATCTTCAAATTTAAAGTTACATTGAACACGTCCAAAATTTATTCTTAACCTGTAAGTGAGAAGACTTTAAATTTGAAGATCTATTTCTTAGAAATTCTATAATTAGGTCAGAGCTACCTTTACAACTTGTTTAAGTTGATTGATATTTAACAATCCATGGGAAACGAGTATCCAGAAAAAATGACATTTATTTGAGATCCTTACCTAGTTCCCACGTATTTTAATTTTCACGTCTTTCTTTTAATGCCAACTTTAAAACATGAAAATGTATGTATATATAACAAAGTGAGGAATGTTACTGATACTACACCTACGAAGAGCAATGGGAGAAAGATTTGAAAATGATTGGAAAAAAAACCAAAAACATTGTGATCTCCTATCTTCGAGGAGGAGGTTATATGTATTTATGCCCTCGAGGTTTTGATTTACCTATTTTTCTTCCCTTCATTCTTTTTTTTTTTTTTTTTTCAATGGCTCACGCATACCTTTACTTTAGATAATTTGTCATATAATGAAAAATTATTTAACCATTCAGATTACAAAAAAAAAATCGTCTCAAAACATTTCTGAATACGATTATGAGTAGGAAAAAAAAAAATCCGTTTCCTTATTTTTTGGAGACTATAAAAAATTCAAAAAAATGTAAAAAGAATTGAAAATTACGAGACGACTTTTTTTACATTTTTAAAAATCAGCTAATATTCAATTTGGTTTTTTTCCCTTCACTTTTATAAAATTTTCAAATAATGAGGAGGAAATCTTTTCCTTACGGAAAGTAGAAATTAAAAACTTAAAGAAAGAATAAAAATGTAAAAATTTAGGTTGAAAATTTCAAAGTTAAAGTCTTTTATAAGGATCTTGTGATGGACTTACTATTGAAAAGTTTAATTGTTTGATGCATTGAATTTTTTTCATTTTTTTTTTAAATACATTCGTTTCATCCTTTTTGTGGACTTATGATATTTGGGTATGGATAACAACAAAGGTAAATGTATACGTTTTAGCTAGCATAACTACTCACCGACCCTTTTGCTTACTTAAAACCAAAGTGTAATATAGCTTTGCTAAGCCATGTAAAGTATTTAATGGAAAAATTAAAATATGTCCATGAAATTAAGAATCATGGAACATATTATTTTATTGTGTTATTTTCATTTTTTTAATCAAATGGCCTAATTTTTTCTACATTTCAGAACATATTTTCAGGGCACTGAAACAGATCTGATCTTTGTTCAAAAGTTTATTGAAAAGAGTATTTATATTAAAGAAATTATTTTCTCTTCAGAAAATAAATAACAAATGCTTTTTATTTATAGGAATTTGAATGCTGATGAATTTAAAAAAAAAAAAAAAAACAGATACATTCTCACTCAAACATGGGCCGTTATGTATCTTTTTTTTCCTCTCAAGCAATTATAAAGTAGCAAGGTTTAATTTAAATATGAATAAGAAAGAAGAGTGTTGTTTTATTCCACCTTTTTTTCGTTAAAAATGTTCATGAAGGCCAAGATAAACATGAGAAATATGGTCCTTTTCTAATTGAACAACTACCTTTCCACTAAGGGGATAAAAGCTTCTTTTAGTTTTTTAAAGAAAAGGCCTAAAAAAGATTCTGTTAAAGCCAAATAAAGTTTAATTAATTAACAATTTCGTTTTGACACACTTAATACTAACTTAGGTTACTATCTAAACCCAGACTCTATTTATTAGTGTACTTTTAAGTGGTGTACTTAAGTAGTACATGTTCTCACTTATTTTTCACGAATTTTAAACTTATTTTAATTGCATACTTTTTTTTATTTTTTTCGTTCACTTTATTTTATTTTTGTAATTGGCATTACTAGTGAATCCTTCACATATAAAAGGTCACTCACACCAACATATTTTATCAACAACGATTTTATTTTCATTGTACTCATATTTTAACACAATCGTGACCTTAATAAAAATTCTGATTTTAATTTAGTTTTCAATTTATCTTTTATTTTTTTCCTTACTTTTAGTATGTTAAGTATTACAAAAATAGATCAGAGTCTATGAAGGGGATCCATTTAGATATATGTACTATAAAAAAAGAGAAAAGTGAATCACCATAGTAAAAATATCTGAAAAATAATCCAGGTTACAAGTGAGTGATGTAGGGGACGGGGAAGGGGTTAATTTTTAAAAAGAAAAAAAAAATGCATTAATATTCATATCCGAATGGGGTAGGATGTGGAAAACTGAATGTCCCTTTTATGTTTAATTTTTATTAAATAAATGAATAATATTACATATGTCTTGTGTAGTATGTTTTTTTTTTTTTTTATAGATTTTCCTCTAACTGATGTAGATTAAAATGAATTTAAGTATATACTGTGCGTGATTTACATTTTTCAACTAAACAGAATTCAGGAAATTTTGAACCATGTTTATTGGGTCCGGGCATAATAAGGAATTTCGTGGTTATTTTTTAATAAGATTGAAAATACTTAAAATCCTAAGTAGA